TTGACTAACCCAAACAATGTAACAATTTCAAACTATGACTATCCTGAATTTTCAGTATTTAAGTTTTGTCTAACACTAGAACTTCGACCCGACACAAGACAACTTTGCCAAGCTGTTGATGGAGTTGTCACTCGTTGAAATGTCTTTCTTCTTGTTTAATCTATTTTCTCACATTGCGAGGCTAGTTTGTGGAAACAACTTGATACTGGCTAAGTATCTCAATGACAGACTGTCACGATGATGAAAAAGTAGAGGAATACATTTTTAGAGACGTCTCCAAGTCAATGAGTTCATTGCTTCACATCTTTTCCCTTTTAGTTTTAACGGACACGTCAGCTGCAACCTTTAAAGATGAGGATATCAAGTTGTGTCTTACTAGCAGTGTTCTGCTGTCATTTGTTACTAATCAGCGCAAAGCCATTGGACGACGAAAATAAAGAAGCCGACGACAGTGATATGCCCGAATTCACTGAAGGTAAATTTGCAAGATCCGTCAGTGCGGAGAAGCCACAGTATTGGAAAGGACGTTTCTCTGATATGAAGGAAGAAGTCCTTAAGGATCCTCAGTACTGGAAAGGCCGTTTTTCGGACCCTCAATATTGGAAGGGCCGGTTTAGTGATCCGCAATATTGGAAGGGCCGTTTCTCGGATGTTAACAAGAGGGAGCCCCAATATTGGAAGGGCCGATTTAGTAGAGAAGAAGAAGGTGAACAACAGGTACGGGCCTTGGCTCCTGGTCGCTTTGGAAGGAACTTCCAAGGCCGCTTTGGAAGAAATCTTCAAGGTCGCTTCGGACGTGACATGCAAGGTCGCTTCGGTCGTGAAGACATGCAAGGGCGCTTTGGAAGAGAGGATGATTTGCAGGGACGCTTTGGAAGGGAGGAGGACGCTCTGCAAGGCCGTTTTGGGCGCGAAGAGGATTCCCAAGGCCGTTTTGGACGGGAGGAAGAGCAAGGCAGGTTTGGTCGTGACTTCATGCAGGGAAGATTCGGACGAGAAGAGGAGGACCAAGGTCGCTTTGGCCGTGAAGAGGAGATGCAAGGTCGTTTCGGACGCGAAGAAGACTTTCAAGGACGGTTTGGACGCGAAGAAGAAATGCAGGGACGCTTTGGGAGGGACGAAATTGCGGAGGATGAAGACCAGGGGCGGTTTGGTCGTGAGGAAGATGATCTCCTTGCAGAGTTAGAGAATAAACTGCTGGATGAAACCTATGACACCAAACGCGAAATCGCCACAAGCAGTTTAGAAGAATCCAACGCCGAGAGTACAGAATCTTAACAACAAAATTAATTGGTAAGTCTTTGGTATTCAAGGATGTATTTGAAGGGATAATGCAAAATGTTTTTTGTTTTATTCCAAGTTTCTTGTAAATTGTTCGTGTCACTGAACACGTTTCAAACCACGCTCAATGCTTAGAAAACACCGAAATCGCGTATTTTTAATTAAGTAGACTGTTGGGGCTTTCTGATTTACGACGTAATAGGGTTGTTTACCACTCCAAACATAATTAATTTCGATGGCAGGTGGACAGTAGCAATTTTGATTGGCCGAAGTTTACAGAGCGATGTAGCAAGCCAGTCAAAGAGGAAAAAATAGAATCATTGGACAAAGCTATTCGACGAGAGCTGCAAATTTGCATTACGCTGCCACTATGTAGATAACTTGATTTTCTGTAATTTCTTTGTAAGTATGCGTTGTTTTCGGTTCAGAGATTAATTCTTAAACTCCTTACCACACAAATCTAGGCAACTCTTCCTATTTTTCAGAAGACAAAATTAACTTTCGGGTACGAGTCGATTCGTTTACGATTAGTGCCACGATTCCTTTCGGTCGGTTCGCGTCAGAATATTTTAACTTGTGTTTGGCTATGCACACACTCTTTTACTCTCCGACTAAGGCTGAATGTTTTTATTATTTATTTTCCTCTTTAGCAGAAAATTACATATCCAATCGTTTACGTTATTACTGTAAACTTCCGAAAGTAACGAGCTCCGAAAGTAACCTCCAAAAGCTGTGGCTGCTAGTAAATCCCGAAAGTAGTGACCGCCCGTAAGTAGTGAGCGCACTTCCAGCCCCACCCCCGAAAATAGCGAGACCAAGGTTCAAAAGTATATTTTTCCAATCAAAAGTCAAGTGAAACTGACTTACGGTACTAAAGTTGATAATTATAATTAAGGCGCTCTACAATTAAGAAGGGGAGGTATCGCTTATGCCACGAAGGAAATGCCACTTCTTGCTTCATCCGTTCAAGTTGCGCGATTTCAAAACAAAACCTTAGAATTGTCATTCAGTCGGTAATAGAGGAACGTACTAACAGGAACTCTTCTT